GAGTCACCCCTGACACTAAACATTAACTGTTATGAGTGTGGAACCCCATTCAGTCAGGTTTTGAATTTTTTGAGATGGTAAGTTTTTAAAATATTTTTCCCTTTTCCTTTCTCTCCTCTTTAATCCAGTCTTTTCACCCCTTGTTTTAGTTTATTTGCCTCTCTTTCAATTACTAATTTGACATGGAATTAATTTTCTTTTATTCATCATCCTTCTCGTTCCTTTCTGTATTTAATCCCCAGTCTTTAATTCTCGCTAGTTAAGGAGATATTCTGTCAGAGGCCCCAGATGCCGTGTTTCTCTTGGTGCGCTATGACAGGCCTGAAAGTTCAACTGCTGTTGATCTGAAGGATAACTCGTAGCATTCTCAGTGGGTTGCTCTCCTACAACAAAATCTGGCCCACTTATTAAAAGATTAGAGACAAAAAAACTGCAGATGCTGGAATCCAGGTAGACAAACAAGAGCCTGGAAGAACACAGTCCTGAAGAAGGGTAATACCCGAAAAAAGGACTGCTCTTTTCCTCCAGATGCTGCCTGGCCTGCTGTGTTCTTCCGGTCTCCTGTTTGTCTACCTATTATTAACAGATACCCACTTGATGGCAGTATTGTGCAGTCACAATCTCACAGCTATTTTAAATTGCCTGTGCTATTCAGTTTTAACTTGTTTTTGAAGTAACAATATTTGCAGTGAACCCTTTTATTTCCATATCGATTCTTCAGGCTATTCCCTTCAGTGCATTAACCTTTAGTATCTTTAAGAGCAACTTCAGTATCACAACAATGTATTCTCAGCTTTGGTAAAACACTAAAGTCAGAATGTAAATATGGGAGACTTTTTGGGACTCAAGTTTGTAACAAAAGGACTTCTTTGCTTGCATTTAAATGAGAATATGGCAATTTCCCCAGCTGTTAATTTCTTTGCAGACTGAACCCATTAGACACAACTAAACTTCGGTGGTCTGCAACTACCCAAGCACCCTACCAACCGTTTCTTCATTAACCAATCCATTCCAGTACAAGTGTGTTGCTTAGTACCAACAAATGTGGAATCCAAAAGAAACAGGTTGTTAGAGGTCATTCGTCGCAGCCTCAGATATCACTCAGCACGTAGGTAACATTTCTGCCATACAAGTCAAGAAATTAACATCTTGAATTGCAGAAAGCTGGGCTTTCTTCCCTGGCCTTTGACAACAATGCCACTGCTGATCTCCCCACGAACACTGTCCTATGGGTCTCTGTTACCTAGAAACATAATTGGTCTAGCCTTTTAAATACACAGGCCACAAGAAGAGTGCAAACACTGTGTGTGTTAGCAAGAGGATTCCCTTGACTCTTTGAAACCTCTATAATTTCCAAAACTCAAGCTGCGTGTGTGATGGAATATTCACTAATCCCTTTGCATCAGCGCAACCAGAACCCTCTGTAGCCTAATACAATTTGGAACAATGCAATTTCCCTGATTGACGCACCTTCCAATGGATATATTTTCCAACCTTTACATCAGTAGATCCTGTCTGCAGCAGGATACCTTGCAGCAAATTGTCAAGCTTTACTTTACCTTCCTCTTGTGTAATCTCTATCACCAAGACAGAAGTAGCAGTGACACAGGAACACCATCTCCAAGTACCCATCCAAGTTGAGTTCTGTCCCAAACTGGACATGCGTTGCTGGTCCTTTGTCACTGGGTCAATCCTGAAATTTCATTTTAGCAGCAGGACTGGATAAGGCCCACCATATCCCTGACAAGTAAATTCAGCGAACGGCAGTAGCTTTGGCAGTGTCTCCCACAACACAAGAACAGTAACGTTTTGTTTAGAAAATGCATATTGGTGATTAAAGCTCTCTAGCCAATTGTTGCAAGTTTTTTTTCCTACTATTTTAACTTAACAGATCAACTGGCTGAATAGAATTCAGATGTAATCAAATACTGATTCAATTATACATAACCATGTACTACTGTACTATAAAAAAAATTCCACTAATCTATTCTGGACCAATATATGTTGCAATTGTTTACAAATTCCCACGGAGATTATGTTTTCTTTTCTCCCCCATCAGTGCTCTTGTTGTGGCTGAAATTGCAGGCTGAGGAAAAAAAAACATATTCTCTAGTACTCCTCACATATTTACATTCCTGAAACCTCATTTAGCAAGTTGCTTCAAGCTCTGTGAGACAGTGTAAATTAGTTATGTAAAGCCACAGCAAACTTGAGTGACTCATACGGTTTCTTTCATGTAATGAGGTGGCACCCTAAGTTATCAATGATCTTTTTGGAAATTGTACCATTTTAACAAAACTCCTTTCGTATTCCAATCCAAATCTGTTGCGCAAGTGCTTCAGGACCTTGGAGCAACCTTGTAATGATGTCACACAGCTTCACATCATTGAGCATAAATGGTGTTAAAGCTAGACTAAACTATAAACTAGCCTATACTCGAGAATGATAGAGAGTCTTAGGAGCACATGGACATGATGAACACATGAAGGTTACGACTCTAATGTTAGAGCTTGGTATAGATTTGATTACAATGTATAGCAACGTTTAGCATTAATGTATAATTGAAGTCCAAGCCTGAATGTAGTTCTTGTCAAGGCCTATCCTTGACCACTATGTCTTGAATGTAAATTCAATCTGTGGCATCAAGCCATATGATATAAGAATATTGCAAAAGTGTTTTTAGATATGTATCTTTGGAGAGCCAGCATGAAAATGACAATCATTTGGTCTCCTGTGTTGTAACCATACTATGATAATTAGATACGTAACTATATTGTCATATGTAAATGTACTAAAAGACTAGCACAGTAGTTTTCTTTTCATGGAGGAAAGAATGAACAGGCTGACCAAATACTGCAGAATTTGATAAAAGTCTCATTTTTATCCTGACTGAAAAGACTCTTTTGCATTTCACTGAAAGCATGTTCAATTCTTGAAGTCAACTTTGAAGAACTTTCTTTTTTTGTAATGTTAATAATTTTATCATTCTTTAATAACATTAAATGGACTTATTTATGCCACTAAATTATTGAAAACGCTGGTTTAAAAAGTTATTACTTCCATTGAAATGAAAAATTCAAAATTCATTGTGAACCGCATGAGTATTTTGGAATCTTGGACCAATACCCTTGGTTCCATACCACAAGCCAAGCTTTGGTTTGGGCAATATCTTTCTTGTTTTAAAACAACTTGATTGTATCTTTTACAGTATTATAATTATAAAGGTGTAACCATTTGGAACAGTTGTGACAAAGAGAATGCACTCAGAGTATCTCCTTTTACACATACTGATCATCCAAAATTGTATTTCCAAGATCATACTTAATAGTTAGCAGACAAAGTTGAAAAGACTGGCTGATCAATATCTTGATATTTTGTAATAAATACAGTGAAATTTGTCTTCAATAATTAATTTTAAAGCCTTACTTTAAGATAGTAATTTGCCTTGCATATGATTTGCCTTGCATATGATTTGCTCACAAAAGAATTGCTAAATGCATTCCACCATGAGTATTGTTGAAATAATTTATTATTTAGACCAGGGTTATAAATAAAATTTTATCAAGAAAAGGAATGATCCTGATGCTCAAGAATGCCAGTTGTACTTGCCAGTCACAGTTGTCTTTGCACCTGTCTATGGGAATGGGATTGGACTGGAATGACTAACCAGCTGAGGGCCATACTGCCCTAACAGTTTCTTTTGAAATTGGGAATCATACATGATGTTACAGTCTGTGCTATGTGCTGTTGTTTTATTTATTGGGCTGTACAATAAGTTCATTAATCTGATTCCATTATCAACAGATTTCACATGGAGTTCTAAGGAGTGTTCTATTCTCAAACTGATTAACAACAATTTTGCCTAGCTCTAAAATGCTAAAGTTGTTTCATTCCATCAGTCCTCAATTACTCATGTACCTCTATCATTTGTCCTGTTACAACTGATTGATTGCTTTTGAGAATGTATTAATAGCTCTTAAATGATCTTTGTTGACTAATCAGTCTTTCAATATGGATGCAAATCTGAACCGGCTTGGTAGCAAGGCTGATATAAGGAAGTCTTTAACCTTGAGTAAATCGCCACAAGTTACTTTTAATTTGGATACTTATTAAGAAATCTCACAGTCGTACTGAAACAATAATTTATACTTTTTTAAGACTCCTCAAGTAAGCAAGTTTGAGCTTGCGATCCAACTTAGCTATTACCCAATTAATGGTGAAATCTGGACAGGTGTTCAACCAATGTAGTCTGTCCCTGGAAGTTTCCAGGTTCGTCCTTCTGCAGTGTTGTTCTTCAAAGTTCTGCTATTGGGTTGTTCTGGTGTTGGATTCTTATACAGTTTTCTTTCTTTCAAATTTGCAGTGTGACATTATTGACATCCTTTTGGGTTCTTTCATCCCCAACATTGATTGTAATTTTGGAGACTTCAAGTCTGCAGCTTGTCGTCTTATCAAAAATAGCTCCTTTGTTCCTTGTTACATTTGGGGTGAGCTGTCTGTTTAAAACACAGTATTTTCCTGCAATTAACCCCTTTACTTCAGAACATTACTTCTGAAGGCAGGTTTAATTGCCCATTTGTCATGAGGCAGCAGATTATCAAATAAGTATTATCCCCTTTCTTCCAGGAAGCAGGTTATTTATGTTGTTTCTGTAACTCCCCCTTCCTAGCGATGGTTAATTCACATGATGCTGTAACTCTATAACAGTTTCTCTTGTCCCTTTCATCTCAAGAAACGCATTATTCCAGACAAAGAGTTATTGCTACTTCTTTCAATCCATGTATATCAATTTATCTTTGTTGATTTATTCAGTCCATCTATAGTTATTAAAGTTCTGAAGTCGATAATATCACAGTATATTGTACTTGATGAAACTGATTTATTTCTTTTAAAACATCAAATTAAACCGTACCTTTTTTTAAGATCCACTAAATTTTAATTCTGTCACTGAAAGTTTTCAGTGTTGTATTGATGTATTGTGTATTCATTTCCAATTGCAGTGTTTTGCTGTACGTTCCCTGGGTTGGGTAGAAATGGCGGAGGAAGACCTGGCACCTGGCAAGAGCAGTGTTGCTGTGAATAACTGTATCCGGCAGCTTTCCTACTGTAAAAATGACATCAGGGACACAGTTGGAATTTGGGGAGAGGTAAGAGATATTAAAACTAAAAATTAGTTTTAATTTCTGGTTATAGCAAATTTAAACATTATTATGGTTGAGCAAATCTACTTCATTGCTCGCCAAACCTGGGTTAATTGTACCAACACCAACAACTTAAGTTTCTACAGTGTTGGCAATGTTATGGAAAAATGTTCCAAGGTGTCTCACTGAGCTGTTGGTGACAAAAAGGAGTGAACCACTGAAGGACATGTAGGGAGCACTGACCAATAGTCTAGACATGGTGAGTTTTAAGGAACCTCTGACAAAGAGAAGATGGTAATGGAGATCTAGAAGGGCCGTGGAGGAAATTTGTGACAATATGCTATGTGGTGCCAGAAGTGGGATAGAGTTTAGGTGGATGCACAAGAGGTTCAAGACAGAGGAAAATGTACAAGTATATGCTTTATAATCCTGAGAAGCAAGAAATATCAAAGAGTTGATAAACTGGTTTCCCATAACCTTTCAATTATAATTCCGAGTTGGCAATAAAACCGGTATAAAGTATTGGCGTTTTATTGGCAGCATGATGAAATTGAACAACCTGAGAAATGGCAAGTAGTCTTAAATAATTCATATTATTGTTAAATTTCAGGGTAAAGACATGTACCTCATTCTAGAAAATAATATGTTGAACCTAATTGACCCCATGGATCGTACTGTTCTTCATTCCCAACCAATTGTCAGCATTCGTGTGTGGGGTGTAGGTCGTGACAATGGGCGGTAAGTGCTTAGTTTTAGAGATTTAATAAGTTGCTGGATTCAATTATATTTTTCTCAGCTTTAATATTCAGCTGTTGAACTACACATCAGTGACAAAAGATTTTAAACTTAAATAAATCATAGTGATTATGTTGAATTCTGGTTTAGCAATTTAGTTTATGAGGACTTTAAGCCAATGTTAAACTCTTTTATTGTACTTGTATGCAGACTTGTTTAGTGAGTTGGTTAATTCCTACCATGTCTCTTAGGATTCTTAGCTTTCTGTAATAAATTGCTATGTTCCATGTTATTGTTTGAAATATGCTGAAAAAAAAATTGTCATTTGGATAATGTTGCCTATAATCTTGATTTATAAAACTGAAACTGAGATCTATATCCACATGCAAGAATGATCTTATTCTCCTGTTTACTGAGCCATTTTAATGCTCAATACTGTGCATCTTTTAGCAGAATATAATAAAGCTACAATTCCTACTTGGGCTAAACTGAGTGGATTTGTCACTTTCAGCTTTTTCTTTTAATTATATTCTTGTGTTGCCAACAAATGCTTTTCATACAGTAGAAAATGGTTGCTTTCCTTGATGTAGGTATTTCTTGAGAATTGTCCTTTGAGAGCAAGGCGAAAGGATTCGACAGTGTTTTTTATTAGTCTTTTTTATGTTCAAGCCTGTGCTACCAAATGACAATTCCAAGAAACTGATACAACAAAGATATTGGAATATAAGTTAAAAGTACTTGGTGCACAGCCCTGCAACACATAGTCATCTTCATGCTGAACGTTACAGGGGAGGTTGTTGCTGTTTAAGTAACTTTAATAAGTTTCTGCAGTGTATTCCTTTAACTGTACATATTGCGTTCATAGTGGCACAACAGCATAACGCTGTTAAACTGTTCTCCCCTTAAAGGGGGCTTGAGTGTTCTTGCAACTGCAGCCATCTAGAGAATGACAGGTATGCTGTAGAGTTGACAACAGCCATCTGTACTTCACTGCTTATCTGGCATCCAGCACCAGATAAACTTCTCTGCCTCTTTCATTTTCCTTCCTCTCCTTAAAATTTGCCACTTTAGCCAAGAAATTGGCCATCTACCCTAATATTGGCTTCTGTAGCTGTGCCATATTTTGTTTTCTAAAGCTCCTGTGTAACCCCTGAGATGCAAAACAATGTTGAAACCACTGTGTAAATTCACATTGTTGAGTCTTTTGTATGCTTGTATATGGCTAATGAATTCTAATTACACAGTGTTGTCACTGGAGATCAGATTTGGATGCACAAACTGTTCTGCTGTCACTACTGAAGGTCAAAACTATCACACTGAAAGCACATTATACATGGACTAAAGCTACTTGCTGAGATTAATTTTGAGTTTTGTTAATTTTCAGAGCAAATGACACATTAACACCGTCATTCAGCAAGTTTCTAACAGGAAATAATATCTCATTTTAAGAACTGAAAACTAAGAGTTTTGATGTGTAGCAAGACTTCTGACTGAATCAGTTGTAATTTTGTCTTGATTGAACTTCCAAATACAGTATATAGATGATGTAAACCTTAGGGCTTAATTTTTTTTGTCTCTTGGGATCAGAGTTGGGCAGGATAACGCCACCAGCCCAGAGCCAGCTACCCAGCTCCATCCCATTCCTGGGCTATTTCTGAAGATACAGGATCAAGGGGCAGCAGAGCCACACACTTGCACACAGCACATAGCCCATCCAAGTATTAGGTCTCTGTTAACAGAGTTCAGTTGGGATTTTCAGTCTCCTGCTTTTCACCGGTAGCGGAAGACCAGCTTATTTGTTTGGAGAGTATTAGAATGGGAATTAGTGCACAGAATTCTGATGCACAGCCATTCGCTTTTCGTCTGGGGTCCAAGTACTTAATAATGATATGATCATATTCAATTCAATGTGTATGTGAAAAAATATCCCAAGAATGATAGCCGTTTTCTGGACCTAGTAGCCTGTTCTAGTCTAATGAAAAATTTGTCTATTGTCATTTACTTTGAACGTTTGTAAGACAAGATATGATCCATTATAAATCCAAATTATTCCAATGCAGTTGAATATAAAAATGGCAGAGGAGAAATGGAAAAGAAAACGAGAGGCAAAGAGTTGAATGGCCAGCATGATCATTTTAAATGGTGGACCAGGCTCGGAGGGTTGAAGGGCCTACTCGTGCTCCAGTTTTCTATGTTTCTATGTTTCTATGTGTCAATGTTTCAAATCCTTCCCGTCAAATAGCCTCCTTGTGTGAATACAGTTGAATAGCGAGACAGTAGCAGGGGAACTCCAAAGTCGAAAGTTGAGGCAGCTGAAAGCTTGGTCACCAGACATGGAATGATATGTATTTGGAATGTACGACAGCCCAGCATTGGAGGAATGCAGATATCTGAGGATTGTGGAGCAAAAGGGGGTTACAGAAATGAAGAGAACTGAGGCCATGCAGGAATTTGAAATAATGAGAATTTTTTAAATTGAAGCGTTGTCAGGCTGCAAGCCAGTGCAGGTCAGCAAGTACAGGATCATGCACGGAATTAGTTGAGAGTTTGGTTTGCTTCAAGTTTATGGAAAGTGAAAAGTACTTAAGTAGACAAGTCAGGTGATAACAATGAGATTCATGAATTTAACTGCAGTTGTGCTTAAAAATAAGTAGAGTTGGGTGATGTTTTGGAGATGAAAGTACAGTAGGCAGTCTGGATAATGAAACAGAGATGCGATTGAAAACCATTTTAGGATGAAATAGAAGGCTAAGGTTGTAAACAGTGGTTCAGCCTTGGACAGTGGCTAACCAGTAAACTTATTGGAAGGAACTGAACATGATGGCTTTGGTATTGCAAGTGTTTGATTAGAGGAAATTTCTGTCCTTCTAGAACTGGACGTCAGAATAAGTCAAATCGGAGATGATTTAGAAAAGATGGTGCACTAGAGCTGGGTTTTATCAGCGTACGTGTGGAAACTGATATGTTTTTGGATGTAGCCACTAAGAGGTTGAAGAGCAACAGGGGAAGACTAAGGGGAAATGCTTGTAATGGTTATCCCTTCAAAGGAGAGCTGCACTTAAAACAATAAGGCTGGTTTGTCTTATTGTAAATAGCCACGGCAAATGTAAAGAACTAAAATGTTTTCTTCTTTGGAATTTGAAAGCCAAATTCCATTATTCTACTGTGTTTGCTTTCCTGGGAACAAATGCCAGTTTAATAAATCACATTGAGGTGCAATATATAAAGAGTGCAATGTTGACCCAAGAGTGCCTTAAGTATAACATCAAAAAGCTTTTATCAGTTCCCCTCCTGTGGTGTGATGAAAATGTTTCCTTTCCCCCACAGTGTAGTAGACGAGGTTATAATTTATCCAAGCAGCTGGGTTATCAAGCCTGCGGATCAACATTTCGTCTTGCAGTCAAATCTGCCACTGGACATCAGACTTACTCTAAGGTTATTAGTGATGCCTGAAATAACTCCAGTAACCCTGAGTAATTGAACGATTCCTAAATATGTCTCCGGTATAAATGGATATTTGCAGGTGGTGAACATTGATTTGAGCTCCCCGATGCCTGATGTGTAGGAATTATGCAGAGTAAAATTCTTTTGTGCAGATTTGATCATTGTGGTACAACAGGCAATGCTCTCTTAAATGTATAATATATTTAAGAGACCAGCATGGTGGCTCAGTGGTTAGCACTGCTGCCTCACAGTACTAGGAACCCGGGTTCAATTCCACCCTCGGGTGACTGTCCGTGTGGAGTTTGCACATTCTCCCCCTCCCTGTGTCTGCATGGGTTTCCTCCAGGTGCTCCGGTTTCCTCCCACAGTCCAAAGATGTGCAGGCTAGGTGGATTGGCTATCTGAATTGCCCGTAGTGTTCAGGGATGTGTAGATTAGGTGGGTTATAGGGGGATGGGTCTGGGTGGGATGCTCTGAGGGTTGGTGTGGACTTGTTGGGCCGAAGGGCCTGTTTCCAAACAGTAGGGATTCTATGATATAGCACGGGTAACCTATTCAGCATGAATGGATAAAGAAAAAAAAACTTGCAGAGTGGCTAAATGGTTCTTAGCTTAAGACATTCCATGTTGCATTGAATTATGTAGCTCCCCTTTCAACCAAGCTGTCAAGTATTTGATTTTAAGGATGTAAACATGATGAAATAGTCAAATTATGTCAAGAATACAATAGCTTCTACTTTATGCTATGCTTTAGGCTCACATTACTATTAGCATGGACATGTTTTCTTAATACCTTTGAGTGGGTGTTAACAGGTGTACACTGTTAGAGACTGCTGGCTCCTTGTCCTACAGTAGCGCTTGCTCACTCCTTCAGTCATGTAACACTCTTCCTTTTAATCTATACAGGTTAGTGAGTACAGTTCTATTTTGTGGGCATCTCTTTACATGCATACTTCTAGTCTGATCTCTTATCTTTTCTGCTCTGCTGATGTCAGAGTAAGGTGATCATTTGCATTTTCCATTATACCACACACCCCCCACCTCCAGTTCTCTGTCACTTGGTTATGTAATTCCAGTAATTTGTTTTTCATTATTTGTTATTGTTATCATTTAACAACATTATCACAAACCCCTCCCCCACAAGGTCCAGGTTTCCCAGCTTGAAATGATTTGGGACTCCCGACTGATTTCGTTCCTTAATTCCCACACAAGAGAATTCGTTCTTTACCAAGCATGGAATTGTACCATTCCATAAGGTATTCATTGTATTTATTGGATACCTTTGACCCATATCCTGTGATAATTGTACTCAGTCTCACTTGGCGCATTTGAGACACTGTACCAGAATAAGTGAATTGTTTTGTTTCGCAGGTTATTCATGTTTACAAATCAGTTCTCCCAATCATCTAGGTTCATTTGTCCTTTTTGTAAAATGCCAATTCCATCAATAATTCTTTAAGTTTATAGCAGGGTATGATACTAAACTATTTTCATGCTAATTTTTAAATAAATTTAAAATTAACAAATACTTAATTTATATAATTATACCAAGTGAAATAC